AAAAAAACTCGCTGAAAGCGAATTTTAGCAATCAACACAACTTGACGTAGAGACATGATTGGCTAAAAAATACAACGGTTTTTGATACATCGGAAAATCAACCAAAAATCGGAGACTGGGCGAAACGCTCAAGGTCGCAGAGGTATAGGGAATCCCATTGCGAAAGCAACGGAACGATTGTAATATCATGGGGAACTCCGTTCCCATGACAAAAAAAAAAAAAAAACATGTGAAAGTGAAAAGTGTACAGGAAAAATAAGGGGCTGCGAAGCAGCCCCATAAGCCCCTAGTCGGCTATAAAAGGCTATAAGAAATTGTACAGCCGGCTACAGAAGCTATTGGAAATCTTACAGCCGGCTTTAGGTCTATAGTATTTTGGAACACACATTCTACTGCCAATTTTTACCAGGGTATGTTAGCAAGAGAATTGTGGCAGTGCCTATGTTACGCCCGAAGACTCATTAATTACTCATTTTTTTAAATTAGTACATCTGCCATATTTTTACACATCGGAGCTTGCAGTTTTCGATTCTCAGAGCTTTAGTGATCTAATGGTCTATTACAGAAAACAGTCGAAAGACTATAAAGATACCGTCGATTACATGCAATTTAATTGTTAACAACCGCACTAGGAGCATTTGAAAAAAGCCCTCATATCCGTTGCTGCACCTTTACCAAACTTCTTAACTAAGCCTGTCCTCACTGATATTAAAGTATAGATGGGAGTAAATTATCTGTGGTGCGCTACAACATGCTGCCTGGAGTGCAGTTGTCGCGCTGATACTGACACATCAATCGATGAAGGCTGATAATTGCTGAGGGGCGATTACTTTGTAACAACATGATTCAACAAAGTCTCGGAGCGCTGATAAAATGCAAGCCATCGCGAAAAATCGAGGAACTAAAATATTGCGCTATTAAAAGGAGGCAACATTGTAATAATACGATACAATGTGTAGAGGAAGCGCGAACAGGAAAATAGAATGCGTTTTACCTCCTCGTAAGTCTTCAGATGTTGTCAGCTTTTAGGCGAATTTTCGCGAGTGGATTTGCTCGAGGTGTTCCACTTACTGCCAACCTCCGTTACAACAAAACGAAATTCCCTCCCGGTGACGGTGCGCTTACAACATTTGGTTTTCATGCTGGCAGGAATGACGACCACATCCAAGATTTTCGATCCATCTCCCGGGGCGGGTTGAAAACAGGATGGATGCAAATGATGACCGAAATTCATCAAGCAGCTGAGTTTAGTTCTCGACTGCAGCAGAGCGTTTTTATCCATTAGTTTGCAACCCTGCCGATCTAGTTGAAAAAGTCGCGCGACCAAATCCACTGTCGAAAATTTGCCTTTCGACGGATAAACAAATTACTAGGGGGCGCTTACGCTTATTACAGGATCTTGGTTTGGTGTTTTAAGCTTATAGATTAGCAGAAAATAATAAGATCGCTCCACAACACAAAGTTTCCACGTCAAACACTTAAAAAACACACGGCGTATGATAAATTAATGTCACAGTGACGATCAATTCGGTACACTGGGGGAAAAAAAAACACATTGGATCTAGAATCCAGACTCTGGAAAACATTGACAAGAAAAAGGGCTCTTGATTCAATCAGATTTAAGCTTAAATCAAAAGGAAATCCGCTCAAATTAAGAAGCTTGGTTCTTGATTTAAGCTTAAATCTGATTGAATCAAGAGTATTTTTTCTTGTCGATGTTTTTAGGAGTCTGGACTCTAGATCCAATATGTTTTTTTCCCCCAGTGTGCTGTAAGTTTTCTAAAACAAACTCATGTTTGATCAGTTGACATTTGGCAACGCCTAAAAGTTTGGGAGACTTTTTCCTTACGACAATATTCGTGCAATGATTTCCTCATAAGGAATACCTTATGATGACTGACTGACAATTACTGACGATTAAGCGAACCTTTATGACGATGAAAAGCTGAAAGCTCATTTCAGTCGGTCATGGGGATTCGCCACCGAGCGGTCGAATAACTGCTGCTTCTGCAAAAATATGGTGATTTATTTAGGTCATGTGGTCTAGTATCAAGTTTAGTGTGTATATATTTTGCGCTTCGATAGCAATTGCGACAAAATTTAGAATACAAAATTCAAAAGAACGCCGCACAACAAATTCCTTTGTTTCATTTTAATTTTTATCACGTGAGTCTTTCTCATTTGATCTGGAAGATTCATCAGGATCATCCTTTCAGACTACTGGGCGTCAGAATATTGAGTGAGTGTTAATTTAATGTTATTTTGTGTGCCAATGCGAGTTTTGATTTCGAAATAAGTTTTATTTTAATTGGCAGAACATTGAGGATTCAATGAAATAGGTAAGTTAATTTCATCTTCCTTTCGTTTGCAATTACTGACAATAAGTAAATTTCGATTGGCAACTGCTCTTACAAAACCGTCTAGGAGCGCGTGTTCATTATTTATTTTTCTATCCTGTATATTATAGGCTCTTAAGCCTCCTAAATTTTCATTTCTAGTAACGCTTACTTCTAGCGTTCAACCGGGTGAGAAAAATATGTAAAATGTTGAAATGACATAAAAAGAAAGAAATAAACTCTTGAAATGTTGCCAACCTGAAAGAATCGTCCCTGGGTGTTACTTACAGTATTCACGCCGTAATTTTACACAGAAAATGATAATTCCTGAGATAATATTACGACTTAAAAGCGTCATTTCTTGTCGATTTTTTTTTTTTTTTTTTGGTTAAAAAAAAACGACGCTATATTGTTGTTGTTTTTTTAACTTAAACTTAACGATAACAAAACAACGTTTCTCTAACGCACACTGAAAAAAAAGCTCCGGCCAGGGAAGCCGTACATACGGGCTATACAGATATACCGTCCGCGTTCTGGGCTTAGACGCCGAAAGTTACGGGTGTAGCACCCGGAGTAATAGAAGCTACGACTCCAGCACCCGGAACTTTTGGCCTTTATAAGCCCGGAGCGAACGGTATGTCTATACAGCCCGGAGCGGACGGTATGTCTGTACAGCCCGGAGCTTTTAATTCAGTGCAAAAAACCCGGATTTTGCCGACTAGAAAGGACGCTATAAGTGAAAATAATATCTCAAGAGAATTTTTTCAGTATATATTAATTTACTCCACACTGGAAAAAAACACATTGGATCTAGAGTCCAGACTCTTAAAAACATCGACAAGAAAAAATGCTCTTGATTCAATCGGATTTTTGCTTAAATCAAGAACCAAGCCTCTTAATTTGAGCAGATTTCCTGTTGATTCAAGCAAAAATCTGATTGAATGAAGAGTATTTTTTCTTGTCGATGTTTTTAAGAGTCTGAACTCTAGATCCAATGTGTTTTTTTTCCAGTGTATAAAATTAACTTTCCTTTTGCCAGAGGTACGAATTCGACGGAAGCAAGATGGGTGGTAGATGCAGTCGGCATTACGAGATCGAGGACCGGATCGATGGCACGACCGTGGTGGTAACCGGTTCGAGCAGTGGCATCGGAAGAGTCACCGCGAAAGAACTCTACAAAGCCGGTAAGCGGAAACTCCGTTGGACTCCGATATTTCACCGTGTGATATTATTTAATATTTTCGTTGATCAACATGTTGGTCGCTGCTTGAATTTGCAGGTCGGTGCGCATTTCTCAGAAATGTTTACCGTATTAATAAAATTTGATACAAGCATGTGCAACTTTTCTCAAAAATCAGCATTTTATCGGAGGAAATTCGGCGCCTCTCGAATGTTCATAGGTACGGCGTTTTTCCTTTAAGTGGCAGAATACTGCACAAAAAATCAGAGTGCGAGGGTTTGCATACCTTTCAGGCTGTCTTAAAAGACACGCGTGGTATTTAGCGAAAACTTCCGGCCCTTCTTGCGCAATTTCCGTGTTTCTTCGGTACTTTCGGACCGTCTCTGAGTCATCACTTGCTATTTCTGAACTTTCCGAAACAGCAGACACCCTGGTCCGGAATTTTAAAAAAACTCAAATTTTTTCTGTATTCTTCACACGTCCTCCCGAATCTTCCATAATGGAGGTGTTACAAGTGTGAGGGATTTGCGATTTGACCATTGATTCTTATGTAAAAGTTTGCGAGAAACACGATGGTGCCACTGGTTTTCTCTGAAATCATCTCCCAAGTTCAAAAAAAGCTCTTAAAGTGAGGCCAAAATGGAGGGGATATCTTACCCTACCCTGAGAGCAAATACATTCAGCAGGCTTGCCACTTTATTTGGGGACTCCAAAACTGAAAACACGGCAACCCTGCTAATGTATTTTCTCCCTATCTTTGCATGGAGAGTTTGTTTTGATGTAGAGATGGACTCTCAGGATAGCGTGGGATATCCCCTCCATTTTGGCCTCAACTTGAGAGCTTTTTTTGAGCTTGGGAGTTGATTTCAGAGAAAACCAGGTGCACCATCGTGTTTCTCGCGAACTTTTACATATGAAACGATAGTCAAATCACAAATTCCTCACACATACAACATCTCCATTTCTCTGTCTCTCAATCATCTAGGCGCTCGTGTAATCATGGCCTGCATAGAAGAATCTTCGGCGGCAGAGAGGGTGGCTGAAAGTATCCGAAAAGAAGTCGAGGCCTCCCACCCTCGATTAAAAGTCGGAGCGTTGGTTGTGAAAAAACTCGATCTGTCCTCGTTGGAATCCGTCCGAAAATTTGCCGACGATCTCAACGAATCCGAGGAGAAAATCAACATCCTCATTAATAATGCAGGTAAGGCCGCTTAAAATTTACTAAATTTGTCGAACTGTTGAAGTTTCTGTTTTCTCTGTGTTTGAAAGGGGACAAGAAAAACATAACGCAGCACTGAAACCATTTAAGTAGCCAAAGCTTTGAAAAATCATCCATCATAACTGGACGTACACTGGAAAAAAACAAAAACAAAAAACAAAAAAAAAAAAAAAAAAAAAAAAAAAAAAAAAAAAAAAAAAAACACATTGGATGTACAGTCCACACTCTTGAAAACATTGACAAGAAAAAAGACTCTCGATTTAATCAGTTTAAAGCTTGAATCAAAAGGAAATCCGCTCAAATTAAGAGACTTGGTTCTTGATTTAAGCTTCAATCTGATTGAATCAAGAGTACTTTTTCTTGTCGATGTTTTTAAGAGTCTGGACTCTAGATCCAATGTGTTTTTTTTTTCCATTGTAGTGATAATAAAAGGAACTATGTGCGTGGGGTTTGCGTATAACATGGTAACTTTTAGCATGAATACGTCCAACTGGATTTATTTAACCCGATAATTATGATCCCCTGTTATTTTATTAATTTATTTTTTTAAACAGGAAAACTAAGCAAGAAAATGCATTCAAACAGTACGTATTATGTACGAGTATGCAGTATGCATTTCCTACAGTGTGAGGAATAGTCTTGCAAAATTCCAAGGCAAAAACTTGTTTTGTTTCCTTGTAAAAAGTAAAGCATGAGAAGATATTAGATGAAAGCTGATGCAGTGTTGCTGACTCTGGGTAATAAATCCAAATAACTGCAAAGCAGCATTTACCTACTCATAATACGAGTTTCAATTTCTTTAACCTATGTTGAATAATCGATTCTTGTCGGAGCACCTGACCCCTCCAAGAATCGATACATTTCCATGGGTCAAAATGGGGGGAGAAAACAACGTTGACAAATTGCTGGACCCGCCAATGGTTCCCTGAGTTTCCGCAACTGTTCCAATTCTCGCATGATTCAAAAGAGCCAACATTTTTCGCACCATCTTTTCTACATTAGCGCTGTAGTTTAACATCTCTTATGTTGAAACCTTCAGGTATTTTGACACGAGAGCGTCGAGTGACGAAGGATGGCTTCGAGCTCACATACATCACGAACTATCTGGGTCATTTCTACCTAACTTGCCTCCTCCTCCCCAAAATGCTGGGTTCAACTCCGGCCAGAATTGTCAACGTTGCGTCGATCGCACATACAAGTAAGTTTCTCATTAAAAATTGCTACAGCCACGTAAAATGGAACACATTGGATTTCATTTTACAATTAGGGACTACAATTTCTGGCTCAGTTTATAAACAGCTTAAATGCAATAAGTTTCCCTAGTAGGTAGGTGATTGTACGGATGCGAGCCTATAATTGTAGTTCTTAATTGCAAAATGAAGTCTTCAAATTTTTAAAGAATGCGCATCTATATTTAGGGGATGAATTTGACTTTCGGGAGGAGTTTTGTTGAACTTGGGGGTAGGAACAATTGGGAGGATATTCCCTTCCCCCCAATCCAATTGTTTTTGTCAGTTCGGCGTATTCTTGGTGGTAAAAGATCCGTAAGTAACGAAAATAATTGGTTTTGACCCATCATGGATCCTTGTATTGAGATATACTCGTATTGCTGTAAACATGAGTCTGGAACCGAACTTTTTTCATTATTTTTTTCGAGTTGGATGTCGTTTTGGGGCCAAAAAGCCAGAGCGCGTCAAAATGCTGTCGATTGACTTCCACTTCACTAACGTTTCCCGAAATTCTTTCAGGCGGACGTATGCACTGGGACGATCTAACCTTGGAGAAGAACTTCAGCATGTTCGGGGCTTACGCACAAAGTAAGCTAGCGGTAGTTTTAATCACACGTGAACTGGCGTCTCGGCTAGAGGGTGAGTAGATAAAAATCAGGGTTGCCGCATTAAATTTAGACGATTAAATTTCCCGATTTCCCTGACACATTTCGATGAAATTCTCTGACATGAGCAAATGCCAGATTGTTAAAAAGAAATGTTAAGAATAATGTCAGGCAAAATTTGTTGTTCGAAACGTCAAACCCATTCGAATAGAATAAGGCAAAAAAGGTGACTTATAGATTTTTCCCAGACATTTTCGTCATTTTCCCTGAAATTTCAAGGTTTTACACCTGAATTTTCGAAATTCCCAGACATCTCCCGGTTTTTCTGGTATTCCCTGGCTGTAGGAACCCTGAAAAATGAAGTCACTTTTCATTACATTTAAAGTTGGCATTCCGGTGGCTAAGGAAAAAATACCACCTATAACTGACAATTTTAGCGAAAATGAGTTCGAGGCTTCACAGCATTCTACAGTATAAAAAACACAAGCTGATGGTTTTAGTGTTTTCGCGTTCATTTCAAGTGTCAGTAGATCATGGCGTTCAGTATAGCATTCAATTTTTACCAAATGGAGCTTAATAGGTCAAAAAAAATGCGAATAAAGAAATTGAAAAGGGTTGCAGTCAGTAGATCATGGCGTTCAGTATAGCATTCAATTTTTACCAAATGGAGCTTAATAGGTCAAAAAAAATGCGAATAAAGAAATTGAAAAGGGTTGCAAGTAAAGAAGAATTAGTGGTGTACTTTACCCTGCATGAAAGAAGGCGCGAGAAAATGAATCTTTTTCACCCACTTACCTAAAACAAAAAAATAATAAATTACTGAACTACATCAATACTTTTACTACTACATACTACTCGGGTTATGTTATTATGCATCTCCCGAAGACAATGTCAAAACAAAAAGGTTAATAAACTGAGTCTAAATGTCTGTAAAAATACAATATCTTAATGGAAAAATCAAACAATTAAAGTTCACAATATCGAAAACATAGATATCAAATTTTAAAAAACAGTCCGAGACACTGGTAACATGAAAAAAACATGGGGGAAAACGGGAAACAACACTGGAAAAAAACACACTGGATCTAGAGTCTAGACTCTTAAAAACATCGACAAGAGAAAAGTACTCTTGATTCAATCAGAATCTAGCTTAAATCAAGAACCAAGCCTCTTATTTTAAGCGGATTTCGTTTTGATTCAAGCAAAAATCCGATTGAATCAAGAGTATTTTTTCTTGTCAATGTTTTCAAGAGTCTGGACTCTATACTAGGGCCCACGAACGATGATCCCTGAGCCGCGGGTATTTCTTGCAAACACTGACAACAGCGACACCCCGGCCCGAACCGAGTCTCGAGTTCGGGGACAATGCCGAGCCGAGCCACAATCGAACCCTAATTACTTACGCGTAATTTACAATTTCACCCTCCCGCTAGAAAAAACCAAAATTTGTTGAAAGTTGTGTAACATTTTTTTAGCAAGTGTTTCGTTTCTCTCCTTTAAAACACGAGTAAAAAGAGGACTCGTTTATAAAAATCGGTCAAATAGCAGCAAAGTTACAGTTCGAGATACGATGTTATAAATAAAAATTGGACTTCGCTTCAAAAAGGAAAAAGAAGGAAAAAATAAAAATTGTATATAACAATTATATATGATTTAGCTCAGAATTTTACGAGCAATCCAACCATGTAATGGACGAAGAGATTGGGGCAAAATTACAAGAAATTAGTCTTTTACGAAAGGGCTTCCTATGAAGAATTTTGACCTGAAGATAGGGGTAGAATAGCAGCAGTTCGCATACAATAGCTTTTCGCGTTCACAATACCCGGTCTCGTCGATGTGCGTGCTCGGCCCTGCAGCGTTGTCATTTACATGGTCCGTGCGTTTATTCGCCCGATTTTTCAGGGATCATCGTTCGTGGGCCCTAGTATAGATCCAATGTGTTTTTTTTTCCAGCGTATGAAGGAAAAAATTCCGGACCTTCTTGCGGAATTTCTGCATAATTTTTCGGCACTTCCAAACTGCGCTTAAAAAGTCAGTACTGTTTCCGGACTTTCCAGACTAGTAGACGCCCTGATATTGAAGGATGTGTTTCAGAAAATGCTGCTCCGATCGCATTGATTGCTTGACTAATCAGGCATGTTTTACGTTCTAGGAACGGGGGTGAAAACTTACTCATTGCACCCTGGAATACTACCAACTACAAACATTTCGAACCAAATCAAGGAATCAAGTCGAAGCTGGCGTTATGTTCTCAATTTTTTAAGCATTTTTATGATACCACTCTCGAAAACACAAGAACAAGGGGCTGCAACCACTTTATTCTGCGCCTTGGATGCATCCGTCGCTGAGGAATCAGGGTTTTACTACAAGTAAGAGCTCTGAAACTATTATTTTCAGGGAGGATTAATAGAGAGAATTCTTGCCTTTACACGCTTGGGGTTTTATTTTTCTGTTCGGTGTAAGTACATCACCAAAGCGCAAGGACATGCAGAATCAAACTGCAGGTTAGAAGAAAGTGCCTTAAAAGTGAAAAGATGCGAATAGTGCCTATAGCAGGTAGGATTACAAGAATGAGAAGACAAAGACTCAAAGGTCTTCTCATTGTATATTTTGTACACACAATGTTTACAAAATGTCCCTTTTTGTGAAGTTTTCCCCTTTGACCAGGGGACACTTCTATTTTAAGAACACGTAAATAATATTAGATTGTAAGTATTGTTCATTTTTCAAAGATCAATAGGTACATACTAACTTAAAAAGTCTATAAAAGTCAGTCTTAAATGGACCACTAGACAAGGCACGAATTTAAGCAATCTGATACATGTTTCTTAACCAGAATTTCACGTAAAACACGATTCACACAACAAAAAATACTGGAACCAACTCTTAACGAAGATATTAACGTTTTTATTACTCATTGGTTACGAGGAATTTAAACTGCCCGCTCACAAGAAACTCGAAGCTCTACTTGAGTCAAATCGTGCACTGCAGCGGTTTCAGCAAGCTTCTCAATCGAGTAATGTTCATTTCCCACCATGTGTTGTTCAAACTATAAGTAATTTTCTACAGCTGAGCCAAAGCGTCAAGATTGAGGTTGCCAGTTTTTTATATCGCAGAATCTGTCATGATAACGTTTAGCGCGATGTGAATCACGTAGAGCATTATGAGTTTTCATGAGCGGGTGGTTTGAATTCTCGCATCAAGAATCATTAAATATCTTTGGTAGGAGTTGATTTTGGTAATTTTCGTTGTGCGCGTCGTATTCTACGTGAAATTTCGATTAAGGAACATGTGTCAGAATGCTGAAATTCGTACCTTGTCTAGTGGTCCATTGTACGTCTTCGTACAGTTCTTCAACTTTCCGACGGATTAAAAAAGATCGAAGAGAAAAAGAATCTTCTGGCAAAGAACGACGAGAAATCTTTTGATTCATCACTTATTTTCTTGCAGGGACTGTGCCCGAGAAGAAATGGCATTGCAAGCTCGCAGCGAGAGGGACGCAAAAAAATTGTGGGATGAATCCTTGAAAATGGTCGGATTGCATGACTTTCACGTCAAGAAAGACCACAAAATCAACGGCTGATTTAAATATGGACATATTTCTGCCAAACGGAACTATGTGCATTATGACGTGAGCCCTGTTATGCATATACTCTTATGGGTCTCAGGGCTCATTTCTGAATGCACATAGTTCCGTTTGGCAGAAATGCGTCCATATGATAGCGGCTAATCTTCCCATCTGACGCGGAGCTGAGAATGTTCGGCGACTTGCAAGGACACCGGGAAATGTGCGGGTTTAAGAAACTCTCGCGACACGCATGTATGTTTTAAACGAAAAACAGTGCATTCAAATTCATCGACGAATCTGTTCGTTTGTTTTCTTTCCAAGTGAATTCCCACCTGTTAGTGTACTTTCCGAAGGAAAAATACACTATTTTTCAAATTGTGTTTTAAAAAAGTATTGCTGTACATACAATAAATTTTAAGTGCCATGGAAGTTTCTAGTTTTTTCCAACGACAGTTGCAATCGAAGTTCAATTTTATTCAGTTTGGTATGCGAGACTTCTTACGAGGTTGCTCCAATATATTGTCCAGCATAAAGGTAGAGTCGCTTCTATCCCAGTATTTTTTTTGTACTAAAAGTTCATTTTCTTTTGGGCTCAATGAACAATGCGAGAGGAACGGATTGTCTACTAAAAACAGGCTGATCAAAAATAAGTATTTTTACAGTGCTTTTTCACTACATTCCTAAGAAATTCATTACCTTCTCAACGGGGGAAAAAAATAAAAGCAAACCATAAAACCATCTTTGTCCAATGTTTTTGTGTCCAATTTCTCTTGGTCCATTTTAAATTTTTGTCCAGTAGTTAGTTTGGTCCAAAAGAAAATTTGTCCTACCTTTTTTAGTTCTCTTTTTTACTTTGACCCATACTTATGTGTCCAATGATCAGATTTTATATTTTTCCAATTTATAACGTACGTAAATATTAGAAAAGGGGAAAATATATGTGATAGGGCAATAGACCAGTTCGGGAACATATTCAAGACACCCAACGCTTGTTATGCATCTTGCATTGCAGACCGATTTTCGTTCACATCGCCAATATTCTCGAGATGTTCCCTTTGATATAAATATCTCTTATTACCAGAGACAAGAGACCCTCCGCTGGCCTCCTAGCGACAGGTGGAAGCTTTTACTTTCGGGGTTTCAACAATTCCTTATGGACAATTATGAGCGAGCAACAGTCATCACCCTATTTTCGGCTGTTGACTTACCTACATGGTCGATGATGAGCTTCGGATGACGTCATAAGCCAAACAACTTTCCCAAACATCGGCCATTTTCGGCTTGTTTGCAAAACGAAACTGCCAACACGTTGTTGAACATCAACCATGTAGGTAAGTCAAAAGTAGAATGCTGAAGTCCCGAAAGTAAAAGCTTCCACCATGGCCAAGTTACTAGTGGAGGGTCTCTTGTCTCTGCTTATTACTCAGGATTGATTTTTTTTTTTTGGTGGATTTCATTATTACATTAAGCCATAGTCGGTTGGAGTCGAATGAATTGAAATATACATAGTTGAATTTGACTCGAAGGAGTTCTTAAAAGTCAACTCGATCTCATGTTGACCAGTAACAAGGCGTGAATGATCGATTATTATCGATATCGCCCCATCTGAAGCTGCGGTAAAGAATCGATTATTAAGTTGGGAAAACCCTGTTCATCGATCCATTTCCAATGGACCACTAGACAAGGTACGAATTAAAGGATTCTAATACATGTTTCTTAACCAAAATTTCACGCAGAACACGATTCGCGCAACGAAAATGACCGAAACCAACTCCTAACGAAGATAATAACGTTTTTCTTTCATATTGGTTACAAGGAATTTGAACTGCCCGCTCATAAGAAACTCAAAGCTAGGTAAGTCAAATCCTGCACTACAACGGTTTCAGCAAGCTTCTCAATCGAGCAATGTTCATTTCCCACCATGTGTTTTTTAAACTATAAGTAATTTGCTGTAGCTGAGCCAAAGCGTTAAGATTGAGGTTGCCAGATTTTTCATCGCAGAGACATTCATGATAACGTTTAGCGCGCGATGTGAATCACGTATAGAGCATTGAGTTTTCATGAGCGGGTGGTTTCAATTGACGCACCAAAAATCATTAAATATCTTCGGAAAAGGTTGATTTCGGTAATTTTCGTTGTGCGTATCGTGTTTTACGTGAAATTTTGGTTAAGAAACATGGAGATATAAAAATGCTGGAATTCGTACCTTGTCTAGTAGTCCATTGAAGGTTTAAATAGCAGATCAATCATCAATAAATCGCAAAGTACGCCACGCTCCTGACCTTCAAAGTGGGAATAGATTGATAATATTTTAAAGAGTATTTATACTTGAGACCAAATAATAAATAAGAGTTATTTTTGGATTATGCCTGCATTGAAAGGATGTCTCGAGCATAAACCCATTTGCTCACCTGATACAAAGAAAACAGCATTACGCGGTTAAGGAGCGTATCGATGGGAAAATTGTGGTTGTAACTGGATGTAGTTCTGGGATCGGAAGAGCCACTGCGAAAGAACTCTACAAAGCTGGTAAGTAGTGGTAAGACTGCAAAACCTTTATGACCGCTTCAATTTCCTATTTCCCTTTTTTTTTGAAGAGAAACGTCACACTGGGAAAAAAACACATTGGATCTAGAGTCCAGACTCTTGAGAACATTGACAAGAAAAAGGACTCTTGATTCAATCAGATTTAAGCTTAAATCAAAAGGAAATCCGCTCAAATTAAGAGGCTTGGTTCTTGATTCAAGCTTAAATCTGATTGAATCAAGAGTGTATTTTCTTGTCGATGTTTTTAGGAGTCTGGACTCTAGATCCGATGTGGTCTTTTTTCCAGTGCTTGATTCTTGTTGGTTATCTACAAATTATAAGATCTGTCCAAACAGCAACTTCCTAAGTTGAATATTAACCGAGATATCGCCCTTTGAAAGATTCGGTTTATGACTTCATCCACCGAATTTATGAAAGCGCAATATCTCGGTTAATATTCAACGTAGAAAGTTGCTGTTGGGACAGATCTTATTATTTTCAGCGAACCTACAAAAACATGGTGTCAAGTTTTCTTGGCAAAGCCCATTCCCTGATTTTTCCCTGATTTTAAGGAGCTCATTCTCTGATGAGAAACCGAAGTTTTCACCAACTTTCCCGGGATTTTCTTGCGGAAAAGAATATACTTTTCCAAAGTTTCAGTTATGAATATCGATTTTAATTAATCTTACAGCCATTTCTTTGGCGCACGTCAGATTAGACCGCCTTTGAAAACGAAATGATCCCTGGGTGGTTGGAGAAGAGATTCCCGGTTTCTGGAACAGATTCCCTGATTTTCCCGGTAAATTTTCGTTCCCTGATGAATCCCGGTTTTTAAAAAACTAAACACCATGTATAAAAATCAACAACCAGAACACGATTCTGAGACCATCGCAACCAGTGGCGTGGGGTGAATGCTCGATTATCGATATCTCTCCATATGTAGCTATAGTAAAAAATCGATTATTAAGGTGTTTGCTGCGAACACCCTGTTCATCGATCCTATTCCATAGGTATAAATGGCAGATTAATCGATATATCGCAAAGCACGCCACGCCACTGATCACAACTAACCCCATATTTTGGGTCGATTTCCGTTCCAATGACCCGCACACACTAACTCAAGGTGGACGAGTTATCATGGCCTGTATTGACATCGCCGAAGCAGAGCGGACCGCGGAGGAGATCCGGGAAGAAATTAGAGTCTCTCACCCTTCCGGAAAAACTGGAGAGTTGGTCGTGAAAAAACTCGATCTGACTTCCTTGGAGTCAATCCGGAGCTGTGCTGAGGATATGAAAAGGACCGAACGGCAAATCCACATCCTCATTAACAATGCTGGTAAAGTTTTTCGAATATTTATTTGTTTTTTGAGAGGCGCAAAGTACGCACGTGCACTAGTAAAAATTTCGGAGTTATATCCGGATTCCGGCGGATAGTTCCTTCCGGAACCGATTTTGTATCCTAACAATGGAGATGTTGCATGCGTGAGGAATTTGCGATTTGACTGTTGATTCAAATGTAAAAGTTGGCAAAAAACACGATGGTGCCACTGGTTTTCTCTGAAACCGTCTCCCAAGCTCAAAAAAGCTCTCGGGCGGGAAAAAGGGCAAAAGGGCGGGATATCCCCTCCATTTTGGCCTCAATTGGAGACCTTTTTTTGCGCTCGGGAGTTGATTTCACAGAAAACCAGTGGCACCATCGTGTTTCTCGCGAAATTTTACATAAGAAACAACAGTCAAATTGCAAATCCCTTACACATGCAACATCTCCATTCCGGAGTTGCGCCAATGAAATTAAAAGGACCGAGCGGCAAATCCACATCCTCATTAACAATGCTGGTAAAGTTATTCGAATATTTATTTGTTTTTTGAGAGGCGCAAAGTATGCACGTGCACTAGTAAAATTCCAGAGCTATATCCGGATTCCGGCGGATATTTCATTCCGGAATCGATTTTGTATCCTAACAATTTCGGAGTTGCGCCGATGAAATTAAAAGGAACGAGCGGCAAATCCATATCCTGATCAAAAATGCTAGTAAAGTTATTGAAGTATTAATTTGATTTTTGAGAGGAGCAAAGTATTCACGTGCACTAGTGAAAATTCCGGAGCTATATCCGGATTTCGGCGTGTATTTGGACTGCATTTTGCAATTTGGAGTTATAAATTCTGGCTCATCTGAAAAAACACTTATGTGCATAGGAAAACTAATGGCACATACGTTGTTTTTAAACCGGGCCAGAATTTATAGTTCCTAATTGCAAAATGTAGTCCATTTCATCCCGGAGTCGATTTTGTATCCTAACAATTCCAGAGCTGTTGTAAAGGATATTAAAAGGACCGAGCGGCAAATCCACATCCTGATTAACAATCCTGGTAAAGTTATACGAATATTTATTTGTTTTTTGAGAGGCGCAAAGTATGTAGGTTCACTAGTGAAAATTCCAAAGCTATATCCGGATTCCGGCGGATATTTCATTCCGGAATCGATTTTGTATCCTAACAATTCCGGAGTTGCGCCAATGAAATTAAAAGGACCGAGCGGCAAATCCATATCCTGATCAAAAATGCTAGTAAAGTTATTTAAGTATCAATTTGATTTTTGAGAGGAGCAAAGTATTCACGTGCACTGGTAAAAATTTCGAAGTTATATCCGGATTCCGCCGTGTATTTCATTCCGGAGTCGATTTTGTACCCTAACAATTACGGAGCTGTGCTGAGGTTATTAAAAGGACCGAGCGGCAAATCCACATCCTCATTAACAATGCTGGTAAAGTTATTCGAATATTTATTTGTTTTTTGGGAGGCACAAAGTATGCATGTTCACTAGTAAAAATTCCAAAGCTATATCCGGATTCCGGCGGATATTTCATTCCGGAATCGATTTTGTATCCTAACAATTCCGGAG